AAAATTCATGTCATTAGCACCTCTAGTAATATATTTACTGAGAAAAATGGTGACGTGTTCAATACTTATTTTACCTTCTGTAAACGAGCTAGACTGCCTGGGGTAAATAAGTAAAGAACAACAAACACACCTACGTGCTCCCCAACAAAAACACACTCACACCAAAATCCCTGGTGAGCAAAGAACTACAAACTCGCCTTCCACTAGACTCTGAACCCAAAGACAGCATAGGTCCCCTTTAAAACAACCCAGGGGGCTAAAAGTAGGGTTTTCTCCTGTTGGTAAACAAACAAAATCCAAATAATAACTAATCTTAAATGATGATGATGATAATAAAATAAATAAATAATAAAAAGATAAAGAATAAACCAGTGGAAACTAATTGGTACGAATAAAAACCAAACTAAACTGCAAAACAAACTAAAAAAAAATCAGAAACAGTAGCAGGTCAGCGGCAGTCTACATGAGAAAAGGACAAAGTGTCATGATCTGTGTTTTTGCTTTCATTTTTTAGTGTTTCTCCATTCCCCTGTGGATCTCTTCCCTGTTGTCTTGCCTCCAGCCCCGCCCACGCTCACCTGTTTCCTCTTGTGTCTCCCCAGGTGTTTCCCATTGTATCTTAATTAGTTTGCGTTATATTCGGTGTCTTGTCATCTGTGTTTGTCGGATCATTGTGTTTCCTGCTTCCTGTTTCGTATGCGTGCCTGTAAGTTTTTGCCTCTGTACTGGTGTTTTTGAGCTGCATTGCCAACCCTTCTTGGTTATTTTTAAAGCTTTTGTTACCTTTTATTGAACCTCGCCTGCGCCCTGGGTGTTTTCATGCCTGAAACCTCACACAAAGTTAGACCAGCACCTTGAATAAACAATAAATAAATTTTAAAAAACTACCTCGTGTGCCACTTCCTCTGGATTTATCTCTTAAAATCCTCCAGTTCTAATGTAAAGAAGCTTGGTGTTAATTTTGATCAGGATATGTCTTTTAACCTCAACATTAAAAATGTTACCAGGACCGCCTTCTTCCACCTTCATATACCTGATTTAGCTGGAAATCAATATCGAATGTTAATATATCAGCATCTGACTGTATTCTGAGAAATGATAAAGTACGGTGTATGTATTTGGTCAAACCCTGAAGATAGCTATATACAATGTCACACAGAGTATGTGTTGGGAATGACACTTAGCTACTACCACACCAACTTTAAGCTAGAAGTATTTAGAAGTATTGATGAAATTGTGGAATGGGTTATGTACAGAGTTGAAGTGGCCAAAAACACATTAGTTTCAGAAATAATCACACAAGTATTTAATATTTGTATTTCTGACTCTGCACAGAAGCTCATAACTCCTCTAAAAGCAAACACACACTTACACTGACATCACTGGATTCCAAAAATATAAACCATGTGGCCTGCACAGCTGAAATAAACAAGCCAAAAAGTACAGACAGTCACCTGAAAACAAAAAAAAAAACAGCCACACATTACTGAAGGTGGACATAATGCTGGACCAGTCATCAGAGTTCTCTGACTTTCATGGCAGGATAAAAAGTACACTTGTTGTTGTTTAATGTGGCAGTCTCAGGCTGGTTTTGACTTGTTTTGTTTGTCTTCTTCTCATTATGTTACAAAGAAGTTGTCATGGCATTTACAGAAAAACCCTGAAATTTCACCTTATGCATATTAAGCATCATCGAACGCAACAGTAAACTGGGTTTAATTGTAGACACATTATGTAGTTATATAACTCTAGAGGCAACAGTGTCCCCTGGTGTCACAAACAATACTGCAGAAGTTGGTATTAACAGGGAAAAGTTGCATCATTTTCATTTAGTTTTTGTGTAAGTTTAAAAACATCTATCTACAATAAATACATCATTATAGCTTCTGCTTCCTTGCCTCTTTTCTGATTTCTGTATGTTTTTTTTTCCTCCTGAGATGCAAACACATCTGTGAGCAAATTTGTCTGTGAGACACCTGGTAAAAAATACCAATACTTAAGTGTGGCCACGAGTGGTTGCTTTAAAGGGATCCCAGGTTAGTTGTAACATTAGACTTTATTTGATAAACATTTATTTTAACTGTAAAATAACGACTGTAAAAATACTGTAGGCTGTTTAGTTTTTATCATTTTTAAACTAAAAGTTTAAAAATATATTAGACAGACAGGGCCATTATATTTACACGCAAAGCATTCTGGGTAAATGATGATGTGGATAGGTCTTTAGTGTGAGGCTGCTAGTGAGCTATATCCACCCTGAAGGTTAATCTTGGACAATATCTGACAATCAACTCTTTTAAATGAAACCAGAGAGTGTTGACAGGGAGGAAAAGGTAGAAATGACTCAGCCTGKAACTGAAAATATGGATGGAGGACAACAGAGCTGCTTCATTGAAGAAGAACCCCAGCTTAGCCTGTTAGCATTAGTGTTAGCCACAACGCTATCACCATATATATGTATTAGCTCAGTGCTACACATTCTCCAATCGTCACTGAGGTCCTCCATCCACATGACAGAGAGGGGAATGCAAAAATGACTCAGCCTGCAACTGAAAATATGGATGGAGGACCTCAGTTTAGCTTGTTTGTCGCGCTAGCGCTGAGCTAATACATATAAGGCAATATAGCGTCAGTGCTAGCGCAAAGGCTAACAGGCTAAGCTGAGGTTCTTCTTCCATGAAGCAGCTCTGTTGTCCTCCATCCATATTTTCAGTTCCAGGCTGAGTCATTTCTACCTTCTCCTCTCTGTCAACGCTCTCTGGTTTCATATAAGAGTCGATCATCAGATATTGTCCAAGATTAACCTTCAGGGTGGATATAGCTCGCTAGCAGCCTCGCTCCGAGGACCTATCCACGTCATCATTTACCCAGAATGCTTTGCGTAAAACGGCCTATGTAGAAAAACGGCTCCGTCCGTGTTAAAATATATTTTAAAAAATTTACAAAACTAAACATCCCACAGTATTTTTACAGTCTTTATTTTACAGTTAAAATAAATGTTTATCAAATAAAGTTTAATGTTACAACTAATAGGGGATCCCTTTAATGCTGTGATCTGTGCCTCTGGGCCCAGTTTGTTTGTCTATTTGTATGTTCTAAACTTCGAAAACTTAAAAAAAGGTAACTCAGAGAGAAGCAAGATCTGTCTCTTGACAGCTCAGTCCACCATCACCATTTGTGTTATATTTGGATACAAAATAAAAAAAATACTAATATAAAAATCAGACACTCAAAAATTGTCTTAATGACATTTATTCAAACTTGTCACTCTTGACTGGAATATGAGTCCCAGTAAAATATTACAAATTCAGTGTTGGTGCAGAAGATTCGCAATTAAACCAGAAACATGAGTTTCCATCAAACACATTGCGATAAATAGTTAAATTGTCCACATCTTTTATCTGTCCTGAACAAACGGTAACATGTCATGTGGACTTATTTCTCAGTCCATGAGGCCTGCTTAATGCTGGAAATCAAGTGGAATGGTAATCTCAAGCTTTCCGTCTCTCACTGTCATGCGGGCTTGGACTTCCTCTGAAGTTTGTTGCAGATAACCAGAAACATCCTCATTGAACTGGTCTATGAGTTGAATGATGTTGTTCATGATGGACTCACACACACTGCTGAGCTCCTCCATGCTGAAATGAGGCATCTGGTCGAGCAGTTTCCTGACAGCTGTGACGGCCTGGCGGTAGAGCTCGTTAATGTCGGTGAGAACTGCCTCTAAATGGTCAGACTTGAGAGAATCAACAAACTCCTGAGTATTCTCAACAATTACCTCCAGAGTATCGCCTGTCTCTTCCAGCAGCGCGTCAAGACTTTCCATATCTTTCCAAAATTCCACCACTTCCTCAAACACCTCTTTAACCTCAGTTTTGACCTCTTTCATTATTTGTTTACCGGTAATCATCTCACCATCGTACATTGCGATTTCAACATTGCCTATCTGCTCTACAAGATAGTTGAAGTACACCTCCAGATTCCGATAGATGATCTGAATGGTTACATCCAGCATATCAGCGATGCTGTTGGTCAGCCTCTTTATGAGCTCAGGGAGAGTAATCATCTCATCAGACCCGGGCAATCTGAAGCGGGTCTCTCTCAAGACTTTCATGACAGCATCAAGGAAGGTCTGGATCGTTCTTTGGTACAGCACAACAGTGTTCCTGAAAAAAATCGAAATCTGACTCATTTGAGCATCATAGTTGACAGCAACATTGTAGGCTTCACTGATATATTCATTGATGGAGTCCTTCAGTAGCACAACACTCCCCGTGACTTGGTATTTGTCAGCAAATTTTCTAAATGAAGAGATGATAGAGGGTAGTCTTGTCTTGAGCTCAGAAGCCACCGCCTTGGGAGCCTCCATATTAAAAACAATCTGCAAGTCCGTCTTATCTGCATTCTTAGAAGTTCTGACTTGCAAGATGTCAACATCAGTCTCCAGAGCACTCTACAAAAAGAAATTACAAAACTGTTTAGATGCTTTTTTTATTTCCAAATGTAAGTTTTCATTGCATCTAAAACCAAAAATTCTAACTCACAGGATATCGTCCATAGAATCTTGCACCCATCTGAAATGGGTCTCTGTAATTAAGCTGAAGGCCAAGGAACCCGGCTGTTGGTGTAGACAATGAGGCGCTAATAGTGTCTCTGTGAGCGCTGTAGCGAAGGTTCACATTGGTGAAAATTGGACTGGTTATGTCAACATTCAAGGTCTCATGGGGGACACTACAGGAGAAAGACAGGAAGTTTTGTATAAATATTAATGCTGGGCACATTGATGCATTATTATTGAATTAATGCAGCCAACTCTTAATGGCAACAATCACTTTAACACACATTGACCATCTTACTGCTGGAGTATTTTGAGCCTGGAATATCACATAAATTCAAAACAACACCGCAACAAACACAGGAGGGTTCTGCACGATGCTGATCAGTGTGTGGAAGATAAAATGGACAAAGACAGAAATGCCTTCCCTGATTTGTTTAAAGTGTTGAAAGTGTTTGAAAATGCATTGAAACTTTAAAAATGCTCTAAACATATTTGAGGGATATTTAAATTTTGTGCATAATAAATGGGATTAATGAATGATTGAAATAATTTTTATTATCATTCACAATAACTAAGAGGAACAAAAGATAGATACTGAGGTCCCAGTTCTCAGCCATGCAAAAAGAATAATAAGCAAGAAAGATAAGCAATAAAAACATAATGGAATGTACTGCAATATGCAATGTACACATTCAGCCATGGTCATTTTTTCTAAAAGAAATAATTAACTGTGATTAATTAAAAATATCTTGAGATAAATTGCAACTAAATTTTTTAATCCTATAAGTTAAATAAATTAGTTTGATTTTAATGTACCAATATGTGTGTGTCCTTAATTTCCAACTGTTAACTTTTTTTTTCAAAAGAAAAATGAACAGCAAGAAACAAAGAGAATTTTTACCTTTCATCAGTTTGACGCTTTTGCCTAAAAGATAAGTAAAACCAAGTTAAGTACTTTAAACAGTAGCGATAACTTAAAGAGCACGGATAAAATGGTACCTTGAAGCTCTAACAAGGACATGATTAAGATCCACGGTGAAATCAGAATGAGTCAATTCAATCTTGCTGACCATGTTCCCGAGGTCATTCTCATAGTTTGTGTGAGCTAGAGAGAGAGAGAGAGAGAGAGAGAGAGAGAGAGAGAGAGAGAGAGAGAGAGAGAGAGAGAGAGAGAGAGAGAGAGAGAGAGAGAGACATTAGCATGGTTTGCAACTTAAAAAAGCAGTTGAAACAGTTTTAATAAACTCACCATTCAAGTCATATTCCAGTATTACAATTGGAGAAGTGGCAGAGGACTTGTATTTGGTCTTGACAACAAGAACACTTTTCTCCATTTCAGCTTCTGTGTTTGTGGTGTACACCGGGCTAGTAAACTTGCTAATAAAAGAGATCTTCTGCTTAGAAGCGTTCACTTCAACAGCAGTTTTCTCAGAGTAAGCTAGGTCCCCAAAGTTGCTTTGTTGAGCCATATCCATTTCCATATCAGCCGTCAATGAAGAGGTTGGTGCAAGGTCAACAGTAGCCTTGATGTTGTGCTTTCCTTTGGTTTTGAAATTGAACAAGTTTGCTTCGTTGTTGCATGAGTGCCTCAGCTCTGCGAAAAGGTGACCTATGGAGGCTTCAGCGGCCATTTTGTTGTTCACGTCCATACCGATAACTTTGGTTGATTCATAGTTGAGCTTGGCATCGGCAGTAACTTCGGAAGTTGAACGGAAGCCATTTTCAGTTAGGTACAGATTAACTTTATTATCCAGGACTCCTAGAACTAGATAGTTTTCAAACGCTTTGCCGTTCACGTTGGACATAACAGAAGACTCCACTGAAACATGTTCAGAGTTCACTTCCAGCTTCAGACTGTGGTCTGCTTCGACCGTTCCAACAGTATTTATCTCAGGAATGTTAAAATCACCTTCAATTTTCAAGGTAGATAGAGCATTGGCTTTGGGCTTGTTGTTTGCGATCAGATTTTGGCTTGCTTTCAGGTTGAATATTGGCAGTGCAATCTTCCCCAATGAAGCTATGGAAACAGCAGTTTCAAATGTCTCTGTGCTCATACTGATGGTGCTGTCGTAAGTCCCCTCAATGTGTTGGTTTTTCAGGGAGATGGAGCTGGCCAACTTAATTCCTCTTTTGGTGATCAGACTGGTTGTGCCTTCAACTTTGGCTACAAGATAATCAAACACGGAGGCAGTGTTAGCTCCCAGGCGCATGATGAGGCCATCTTCAGCATACAGCACAGCATTGGTATTCAGGTTAAACATGGCAGACTTAAAAGATAGGTCTGTGTTCAATTTACCCATATAGGGAATGTAAATCAGACCCATTAAATCAACTTGTGGGGCAGCCTTGCTTTTTTGGTAAAGAATCTTGGCATCCACAGAAAGAGTTTGCTCAGTTGTAGTCAAAATGTTCTGCAGTCCAGTCTGCTCATAAAAGTTCAGATCAGTAAAAGCTGGAGTACGGAAGTCAATAAGAGGTAGTTCAACCTCAGGAATGTTGATTGGAATTTTTATGAAAAACAAATCGGCTTGACCCTCCATTTGAAAAAAGACGCCAGCTTCATTTCTGTTGTTATTGAGAGTGAAATTGTAAAACATCTTGTACTCATTGAGGCGAGCTAGAAAGACTCTGTTTATCTTTTGGCCGTCAGGACTTAAGTTAACCAGGTAATCATTCTGCAGTTCTATTTTGGCATTCAAGTCTTTGAAAATATTGATCTTGGCGTTAGCTTTGTTTTGGAACTCGAAGATAAATTCGTCAGGACAGATTTTAAAGTTGAAAACGTTGGAGCTGACTCCACTTTCTGTATTGTGCAGTTCTGTCTCGTGGTTTGCTTTCATCTCAATCTTCAAATCATTAATACTGGCAAGTCCAGATGCCACAAGGAGACTGTTCTTGATTGCTGGTCCTTCTGCCTGATTGCGCAAATTGAACTTCAAGTAGCTAAAAGTGGCAGCTTCGGCCGTAATGTGCTGTTTCATCTTTAGGTTTGCAAGGTTGGTGTCACCAGTAAATGACAGACTGCCAGTCCTGGGGATTAGTGTCAGCTGCAAATTGCTTTCATGGTTGGTACCATAACACTCAATACGGTCAACATCATTACACTTTCCATTTGCCTTATTGTCAGCTGTTAATTTGAAAGTGAAGCCATCTAGCTGAGCTATTAGCTTTTGGGTTACAGTAACCTCATCTGGGGCATCAATGATTGGCTTGAGCATTGTATGAGTGTAAGTTGTATCAATGGTAGCAGTCATTCCTCCCTCTATTGCAATAAAGGCTGTGTTCATCAAATTGGCAGCGTAAAATTTAGTATTAACTTTAATGGTGGTTTTTGCTTGGGCTTGAGCTGATAGACCGTACAGAGTCACGGATGCCTGATGATCAGCTCCAAGAGCAACATGATCAAACTTTATAGTCTCTGCAAAGACAATACGTTTCAGTTTTGGGACTGCAATACTAGTACTGGTGTCAAGCTTGTAATTGAAAATTTCCAAATTGGGAGCCATGCCCTGCGAATTGAAGGATCCGGTGAACAGGGGTATCATTCTGTTCTGAGTGGCGTTCTGGAACTCAGCAGATGTCTTGACAGTGTAAATGGGAGTGTGGAGTTTAATCTCGCCGTAAAGTTTACCGAAGCACGGAACCGTGATCTCTTTTGGAATGGCTGGCAGCTTAATTTCAGGAATCTCAAGGGTCTTAACAAGCTTATCTACATGTAGTTGTGGAATAGTTGGGAATGTAACCTCGGAAAAAGTGAATTCTGGCAAAGTTAGATCAGGCAGGCTAGGGAGGTAGTTCAAAGTCAGATCTCCGAAGAAGGCACCTGCATCGAATGCTTGGATTTCACAGTTCAAAATTAAATCAATAAACTTGATGATTATCTGATTGATATCCTTAAAGGAAATGGTGGTCGCTGGTACAGTGTACCTGCCTAGGATGATGAACTCTGGAATATCAATATTTTCTGGAATTCTGTCAGAATACCAACGTAATTTGACGTTCACCGATGGTACAACAAGATTTGTAAAAGGAACTGTGAAGGATGGTGTACTGACTTGTTTATGATTCAGTTCATCAAGAACTGCATCAATGATCTTTTCAATCTCATCAAAGATCTTTACATCAGGCAACATATACATAACTTCCCTAAAAATGCCCTGAAATAAATCTCCTATTACTCCTACAGACACTGTGTACCAGAACCTCACCAACTCCATACAAAGCTCAGGTATTGTTCTGAAGTCGACTTGTTCTATTTCTTTTTTCATGACTTCAGCAATCCTCTTAAGGGAATCACACACAACTTGTTCATAAATATCCTTTGCAGAATTAACAATTTCTGCAGTTTTTACATCTCTCAAACGTTCCACTAAACCTTGAACCAAAGACAGGACTTCATTGACAAATTCTCGTGCTACCTCAAATTTCTTGGGGATTTCAAAAGCCCTGATGATTTCGTTCACAAAGTTTGTGTACTCAGCAATAATTCGATTGCAGTGATCCACTAAGTCATTGTAATTTAGAGACTTCAGTTCTTGCACCAAAGTTTCAATGTATATGTTCAGTTGTTCAATGATGTCTTTGATTTCAGTTGTTTTTAAATAATCAATAGCTTGTTGGAAGTTTTTGAGAATCTCTGCCTCCTTCACACTTTGAACCATGTTATGGATGATATCCTCCACTTTGAGTTGTTTGATAAGGTCCACGGCTTTTTCCAAAACAGCTTGAGCTTTTTTGTCAGCCTCAAGTTTTACGAGCAATACTTTCATGTTGCCATATACATAATTGATTTTTCCAGCAATGTCCAGCTCGTGTGTCAGCTTTTGAGCTTTTTCTATTATTTCATGGATTAAATTTTTTGGAATATCATAAACAAGTATCTCAGCAATCCACACAGGCAATTGTTTTAAAAAGGAAATTAATTCTCTTGTCTGTTTCACAAATTCAGCCATATCAAAACTGTCAAGTTTTTCTCTGGCGTAATTTATAATATTCTGTACTTTAGCTTTGATCTGATACTGAACTTCAATCTCATATAGTAATTGAAAATTGCTGCTTTTTAGTTTTTCCAGGTCAGTCTGATTGATCTTCTCATCTATAGTATCAATCCAATCAATAACCACTGGTTTGAAGTCATCAATGGCTTTCGCAACTTCATCTATCTTTTGGCTGAGACTTTTATAAAATGTATTTCCATAAATAGCATCAGTGATCACACCAGCTACATTTTCAAGGTAAAAATTTAGGTCTTTCAATACATTCGTTAATGACATCTTTAGGCGTTTCAAAAATTCTTCCACATCCTCAGCTGTGACCTCAAAGTTTTGGAAAAAATCACTGATAAATTGCTTCAATTGATCTACACTGTCTTCCAGATTTATTTCACCAGCTAAGCCACCTATATGCTGGGAAAGGGACTCAAGTCTAGCCCTCACATCCTCGTTGTTGATGATGTCTTGCAGAGCTTCTGCCATATACACAACTAATCCCTTGATGCTCTCCAAGAAAACAGGAAGACTTTCAATCAAAGGGAAGTGAATTATATGGCTGTCTGTGTTTTTGTCATATTTGAGAAAGCCAGAAATGGTGAACTCCTGGTTCTCAGTGGAGCCTGTGTTCATGATATTTGTGAGGATGGTGCCAGAAAGCTCCATTCCAATTTTCTCTGCAGTATTGTAAACTTCTATGCTCTGAATCAAAGCATGCTCATTCATTTTAGATTTAATTCTAAGATCGGTCTTCTGCTCTTGGGGTGACAGAACAGTATCCATCTTGTAGTCATAAATGGTCTCAAGGGAAAACCCGTTGTCCAGCTGCTGAGTCATCGATGCTCTGCATTCGTGTAAGCTGGCAAAAGCCAAGGGTTGTGCTCTCAGTTGGAATTTGTCATAAAACTGACCACTGTGCTTTCCAAACACAGTCACGTCTCCATCGCCATTGAAGATGGCATCAAGGTTGAAATCAAAAGGAACAGCACTCCAGCGAATGTTGTGGTCGAAGCGAATTGGCTGAGAGTTGAAGCGGACCTCATTGGTGAACTTTGCAGCCAAACCAACAATTTCAAGTTCAGTGTTGTGATTCATAAGAGTGCCGAAGAGTTTTCCAGTAGTGCTGCACTTTGCAACAGAGCTCAAATCAGCATAGTTAATCTGGTAGGTGTGCTTGATTTCCTCCTTGTCATCATATGTGGCCTTCATGTTTCCAGTTAGGTCCATCTTGTAAGGCTCTGCCTGAAATTGTGCTTCATTGATGAAGCTGATGCCTAGAAGTTCCAGGTGGTTGTCAACATTTGCAGAAGCAGTGTAGGGCTTTAGGTTGAAGATGATATTTTGAGTGTAGGAGATGTGCTCAGTTGCACTAGCTTTAACCTTTGACTGGAAGTCAAGGCCAGATAGAGTCATTGTAAAATTGTTTGCATTGTCAATCTTGAGATTGTTCATTTCAGCCTTGTTTGAAAGAGACAAAATGGCCCTTGTAGCATCCATGCCAGCATCAAAGGTGTTTTCTAAAACCAAAAAGCCATTGAGGGTCGTTGTCCCACTTGTGCTCAGACCCTCCTTGTTCAGTGTCAGGACAGTCTTGTGCCTGGCCTCATTCTCAAGCAGCTTCATGTTGGCGTTGCAGTTTAAAGACAGACCATTCACATCAAGAGAGGCAACCATTAAGGAGTAAAGACGGTTACTAAAGTGGTCGCCATTGGTCTCCATTCTGAACATGACTTCACCAGCACCAGCAGAGGCCTCAGCTTTGTTGCTGATCTTCATACCAGGAGCAAGGGCATTTGCATCACATTTCATTCTGAACTTGCTGTCCTTAAAGGAAAGTTCAGCGGAGTGAGTGAAGACATCTTCAAAGGCATTGGTGTTGGATGCAAAAGAGAATTCACCATTACCAACGGTTGCTGCAATTGTGTTCTGGGCTTTAAGAATTGTGGAGTCAAATTCAACACGAGAATCAAGTTTTGCCACTGACTTAAATGGGAATATGGTAAATGACTGGGCTGAAATGGTTTTGCCATAGATTGGTCCAACCTTGATCAATCCCTCGATGTTATTGTCACCAGACAATTCTTCAGTGTTGATTCCAACCATACCAGTGTGCTCCATGGTTATATTCAAACCAATTGGACTTGTGGCTTCTATTTTGCTCACTGATTTCAAGTTCAATTTGTCACTGATGGTTCCCTCTTCTTCTATGCTAATTCTGGCTTCCACAAACTTATGGGTTAAAGAGCTTCTCAAATGGGCCTTGATGGACTCACTCATGCTCACCATCCCAGAACCTAAAACACAAAAGAAAAGCATAATTGAGAACTAAAAACCCACCAGAATGAATAAAACAACATAATGACACCCATATGGAGATGTTGAATCACAGTTTCCCATGATAGAAAAAAAAATCGCAAAAAATGTTCTAACATTCAAAATGAAAACATCTTACCCGAGTTTGTAATAACAGAACTACTAAACGTTTCAAGCAATCTTTATAAAATACCTTCAAGTGCTACTGAGAGTATGTCAATTGGGGAATTTCCTTTCAGATCAAACTTTGCTGAATAGCTTGGTGGTTCGACAACATCTTTTCCAGCATCCAGCGAGGCCTCTATGTCATAGAGATTGCTGGTCATCATTGTTGAAAACTCAGCTTTGCCAAACAGAGGAATAGACAGCGTGACATTCTTTGGAATAACAAGGTCTGGGATTGGGATTTCTCTGGATTCAATTTCCAGCCCAAGCCGGGGAAAAGACAAACTTGTTATGTTCAGAACTGGTGGGAAGTTAAGCTCTGATGTTGACTTTCCTCCAAGAGGCAGTGGGACTATAACTGTGAAATGCTCATTGTTGAAGTGGTAGACAGCTTTTGCCTTGCTGTTAAAAAAGCAAAATAAAAGTATAAATAATTTTAAAAGGAAAAATTTTATTTCAATATTCACCATAGAGTTGTGCACACTTACGTATTCAGGAAGAGTGTCTCTGGCAGGGAAATCTCTGGTATATCAGGCAGTCTGAAGTTCTTCATGTAAGGGAGCACTTCAGCACCATATTTGTCCATGTAATTGTTTGCAGCCTGAAATGAAAAGAAGTGTTTTATCTTTTGCTTATTTGCTTTAGAAAATTGGGCAGTCTGGAAGAAATACACATACCTCGACAAAGTTCTTGAAGATGTGACGAACCCTCATGTCAGTCTGCCCCACTTGTATGTCGAGAATCTCATCGGCGTACTTCTCAATGAAGTCACCAGTTGGCAGCGAGTTTGTCTTGGTGTTCATATCAGACTTTACCTCAACCTCAATCTTGCTGCCATCTGAAAAGTAGACGATACAATAAAACTGTTTAATGTTCTGCTGTCACAATTTTTCTCAAAGCATTAAAAGTTTAAGCTAAAGTTTTCAGTAGTCATAGACTGTTAAGTCCATACATAAATCAATGTATGGGGTGGTCTATTGTTAGAAAAACTTGCATTTGATCCAATATGGAGGCCATGATCTGGACATAGCCTCACCCATTACTTGACAAGGGTATGTATATATGTCATTTTCCCTTTTCTTTCTGAAATGAAAGAATGTCCTGTGATTTTTGACTCACCCTGTACACAACGTTGAACTTCTTTGCCAAATAAGACATTTATTTAGTTTCTTGCTTTGTAAGTCTTGCATAAAAGCATTGGTGCCCTTTAGTTGTTTATACTGTCGTGATTGTTTTTTAGGTGATTTAATTCCCATAAGTACACCACTATTCTCAAAACAACAGATTTTTCTTTGTTTAGCATGTTACCTTAACTGAAATGTGCTCATTAATAGAAAAGCTAAATGGACAATGACATTACCATATTTCATTTCAACTTTCTGCTCAGTGGTCATGCCCATGATCTTGATTTCACTTTCAAGTTCCAGTTGCAGGTCCTCTTCACGCTTCATGTTAGCTGTGACCGTGGACTCGGCTGCCATTGAAGGCACCTGAACTTGGATTTGGAGCATGCCTTCCTTCATGGCCTTCAGACTAAAACGTGAGTAAATTATGGATTATTTGTTACCGTGTCATAATTAAGAGTGTTTATATTTAGCTTCTTACTTAGCACGCCCAACCAGGGAGAGCTCTGGGATGTTCTTATTTATGAACTCAAGTGAGATAGAGTGAGCTCCTTTGCCCCTGGTGTTTGCATCATTGAGACCAAGCCTGATCCCAGCCTCCACGTCGTAGTCAGGGATCTGGACATCTGCTGAGAAGGTGTTCTTTCCTCTGTTGTACTCTGTGACCAATCTAGCCTCAGTTGGGTCTGCACCTGTTGTTGATCAAGCAACCGAATCACTTTAAGCATCTCCAGATTCATCCAGTTAGAAGATGATCTATAGGAAATCATCAGTGCTGATCGTTACCTTCAGCTCTCAGGATAAACTTCAGAGAATCAACCTTCTGCCCGTTGTCTCCCTCCTCAAGAAGCTCATAAGCAGCAGTTACTGTGTACTCAGTGATGTCACCAGTTGGGTGGAGCTCCACAGCAAATCTATGTTGGTAATACAGCAGTGCCTCTCGGTTACATCATTTTCATTATACTTAGCTGTTTTATTTTCTTATAGTTAAAGTCTTACTTGCTGTCGCCAGTGATGGGGAAATAAGGGGCTGTGTCATGAGAGAAAGCGTCGACGTACTGCAGAGCTGTGCAGTATTTCATTCCAGCAAAGGCAGGCGTACACTTACTAACATCAACTTTATCCATCACCAGCGGAGGAATAGTCTTAACTTCTATCCCAGTCACGGCCACCAAGGAGTTTCTAGATGGAAAAAATGTAGAATAATTTTCTTTAAATAGGTCTGAAATTTGTAGTGAAAGCTGTTTGAAAATATTAGTGTCTTACGTCATTTTAAGGAGTTTTGTAGGTTTGGTTGGAGCCGGAATGGTTAGCTTGGCTTGGTTCTTTTCCATGGAGATTTTGGCTCTGATTCCACTCTCATGGAAAATATTGGTGTGCATCTCCAATCCAGAGTTAACATATTCAGGAATGTGGGAACCAATCTGAGTGACAAACTCAACGCCACCAGATGGCATAAAGCTGAAGCTCTGTGAGGAAAACCCAGGAGGATGGTGGATGTAACAACACTTTTTGTCATACAGAGAGAATAAAAATAAGTAGCATTTAAATGCAGGATAACCACCATGTCACGGGCAATCTGAAGTCCACCTTTAAAACCAGGTGTGAAAGTACCAGACAGAGCAATCCTCAGTGGCACACCAGTGACAGTTGGCAAGAAGAATTCGTTGTCCATGAAGATGTAGTGAGCAAAAATTGCCATATCAGGGTTAGTCATAAGTGACTTTATTATCTGTAACCAATGAAAAATACATTTACAGCAGAACAAGTATTGCTTACATTATAAATTTGTTAATAAATTCACTTTATGTTGGTGGTTATGTTTAACTTACATTTCCCGGGAACCTCATGTACAAATTTTCAAGCCTCACACTAAGCCAGTAGATCATCTCCTCAATATCTTGGGTCTCCAGATACCCCAGCTCATTCCCCAAGAGATTGAGATAAACCATTGCCTCTGGATGCTTTTCACTCTGCACTTGTTTCACCAATTTGTCCAGATTCTGTCCAATCTCTTTCAAAAGGTTCTGGGAGGTCTAAAGACATGTGCACAGTCTCAGTATGCATTTCATTTTAAACGGTTTTCATTATAATTAATGTTCTGAATACCTGTCTCTTCATCCTGTTCTTCTTCAGTGCAGGCACGATGTTCTCCAGGACATCAGTGACCGCACGTGGCATGTTCTCTGAGACATAGTACATCGTTTTCAAGGCTGTGTCAGGGAAGAACCCATTCTGTCCAAACAAGGCTTCAACTGTTGGTTCAAACCCTTTGCCATCTATGCCAATCTGTAAAGATGACATTTTTATTTCCACTAAAGAGGTTTATTTTTGTCTGAACTTGGTGACAAAATTCATTAAGTTACAATTTGGGTCAAAAAGATTTAAAATGCCTATACCTCCAACATGTCAATCTCAAAGCCAAACGCCTTCAGAGTCAATTCAAGCATGACTTCCTTGGGCAGGTATCCAACTTCCTCAAAGATCATGTTGCCCTCTAGAGACCCGATCTTGTAGTGGCGAGAGAAGTTAATGGGGTCTGTGGCGGAGTCAATTTCATTGCTTTGCAGGGCATCCTGAATCTTCTGTTTCAATCTGTGGAGAGAATGGGGGAAAAAAGTTAAACCAAGCAAAAACCAGAATGCCCACTTTTCATTCAGTGACACTGATTCTTCTTACTCTTGGGTCTCAGTTTCGGTTGAGGACAGAATGTTGTTGATGTGGGAGACTACAAAGCTCTTGACTTGGTTGTTCTCCTCACTGGACAAAACTTTATTCAGCTGGGTGAGCTCTCTTGGATGTGGATCCTTCATAAGTACCAGGTATGCGGCGATTCGCTCTTGCACGGAGTTGCTACTGTCCAAAAGCACCTGCATGAACACCTTTCTTGCCTGCAGCCAACAGAAATGAATACAATGAAGATAATGTCTCACGTCGTGTTTATTCTTGATATTTTAAGTGTTTTGTTATATTTTCTTAAAATGATTGAGTTTTGATGTTTTGGATGTTTAGTTATGCTCCTGGTTAAAGGTTCTCCATAAGTCCTGTCAATAGTTTTCCACCTGTAGTACCTCATTATTCACCATCCTTGTATAATATACTTACTCCCTCACTTAGTCTTTGTTGAATCCTGCTGTTAGTTCCTGTCAATATTGTTCCTATAGAGTTATGTTACCTGACCTTGAAGTTTAATGATTAAAGTTCAGTCTTTTAACTTCAGTCACTTGCATTTGTGTCCTTTAGCTGCTAATTAGTCACATACTTAGGCTGTGTCTCAGTTCAGGGCTGCATCCTCTGTAGTGTGCATTTGTAGGCCGATTACATTACTGCACTGCGCCGAAGGCTGTCCCACTTCATGGTTTCGTTCTCATGCAGCCGACAAAGTCATCAAAATCAAAGGATGTGTTTAACTATCCTTTGCGGGCGATGGTATCCCAGGATTTGTTGTGCTGTCATCAATTTTTACAGGAAAAAGAAAATGGCAGAGTTTGGAAATTTATCACAGACCGAAGAATATTCCATAATAACGAAATAAGAGCTGAGTTGCACTGTATTGCAACTGAGCTGATGAAATTTATAATGCAATGTGACATTAAATAACCGAGAACCAATACTTGAGCTAAATCTATTTTTTTTACTTTTGTGTATTTAAATGTAATTTTTTATTAATTTATTAAATTTCAGGAAGTTATATCTCCCATGAAAAGACCTGAATACACGTTTCAACACATTTGCATTTTTAGGCATTTATGAGGGATGTGAGATAAAATGTAACACTAATGAGGTAATGTGTGGTCATGCAATCGACTGTCTCACTGAACAGCCATTAAGCCTACCCGGACTTTGTAGGCTGCGGTCTATGATGGCTGCAACCCCTGAGTTGAGACACAGCCTTAGTGACTGTATACATTAGAAGCATTGCTGTTTGACCTACTTCATCAGGGACTGGAATCAGCCGGTACACTTGAATAGCAGCTTGTTGCACTTCCTGGGAGGCTGCTGGTTGCTTCACACAATTGATCACGGCAGTACGGAGCGCAGGACTGGCAGGAACCACAGCTGGAGCCATGTTTCCGACCACCTTTATGTAGAAGTGCATTAATAATTGTTACTGAGCAAAGATTCTGGATTTTCCTTTTAATTTTGAGCCATTGGGTAAGATGCTTACCCTGAGTGTCATGAAAGTCTGGTCCTTTTCGCCAGTGCAGTCGCCCAATTGAGAAGCCATGAACTCCGCAACAGAGAGAATCTCAGGAATTACTTTTCCCTCTGCTTGGTAAAACCTATTTAAGGAACAAAACAGATTTGTGTGAAACGTGGTAGAACCTACTTTACACTTCAAATAAAGACGTGCGAGCTTACCGTTTGATAACGTTGCTAAGAGCATACATGATGGGCCTGTTGGGCTTGTGTTTGGCCATCTCGAGCAAGTCGTTGATCAGGAGAGCGGAGGGGTTGGACATGAATCCCAGTGCAAAAACGGCAGCATCAACTTCCGGCGAATATTTGTCAAAGGTTCGGAGGATATGCATGATGGCACTGCTGCACTCTGGGGTTCCACACTGGGTCAGAATCTGGTAGGTCAGGGCACGGCATATGCCAGTGGCCTCTGGAATGGCGGCCCTAAGGGTTTCGGCCCTCATCCCACGCGCCACGGAGACGAGCGAGTGGAAAAGGTGGGGTCTCCTCTCGCCTTCGGCCTCGGGGAGGGCGAACAGTTCTCTCATGAGGTTCAGAAATGAGTCTTTATCCTGGACGGCACTCTTGTCCTCAACAGCCTCCATGTGAAGATTCTTGGCAATGCCACCTTAACATACAAACAGTGATTGTGAGAAGTTAGCTTTCATTAGAAAGACCGTCACGTTATATTTGAAGTGATATTCTTGTAAATTAGTATTTTGCTCAGTTTCAAATGGAAATCTTGATTCACAAATCCAAACCTCAAAACTTCAAAAAACAGTTTACCGTGGTCAAACACTCTGTCATTGTGAGAAGAAACCAAAACCAGAGTCAGCTCCTGCTTTCCAATATTTGTTACTCCGTATTTTCCTCTGTGAACATACACGTTTTTAAAAATAATGCTCGCAGCACAATATTCTGCAGCTGACTCGTGCAACAATCAGTGGTGGCAATCAGAAGGTTTGATTTACTTGTGCAAGAAGGGAATGAGGATGTGGTTCTCGGTGCAGGAACCAGCAGTCATGTGCTTTTTTTCATTGTCAAACTTGTAGTTGCAGGTTTGGGAGCTTCTGATCATCTGAGCCAGGGGGTAGTGCTGCGAACACAAGGAGCACAATGTTAGGATTTCAAAATTGATAAAGTTTCTTTTTTCTTTTACGGCATGATTGATCAGTTGGTGGAGCTGATGCCTCTCAGCAAAAAATTTGCTGGATCAAATCCCGGCACGGTGACCTTTCTGGGTAGAGTTTGCATGTTCCCTCCCGGCACTCCGGTTTCCTCCCACACACCGAAAACATGACTGTTAAGTTAAGTGATAACTCTAAATTGTCCCTAGGTGTTTGTGAGAGAGTCTTGTTTGTCTTTATGTGTCCCTGTGATGGACTTGCAACCTGTCCAGGGTGTACCCCGCCCCTCGCACTGTGACTGCTGGATATGGGCACCTGTGACCCTGAAATGAAGAAGCGGGTATAGATGATGGATGGTTGGATTTTTTTTCCAGTTAATTGTTATTCAGCGAAATGAAAAGATATGAGGCCAAAGAAAGATTTGGTTTTAGGAATTTTCAGTCTAATAAGTTGGGAGGAACGGGTGTTGTATCCTGGGGGCGGGGTTCTTTTTTGAAAGACCTAGGGTTTTATAAATGAACAAATGGGTATGTCGGCAAGACTGGAAGGAAAACCAACTGATTTGAGAGTACAGCAGTGGTGAGTCTTATACGAAACTCTAATGTGGCCACGCACATTTATCGTAGCCTTACCATGCCAGTGATGAGAGCCAGAGGACTGCTGTAGTCTCTTATCGGCACAAACTTGTCACATCTGGACAGATCTCTGTTCAGGCTGACGTCGGTGGCGATATCCTCTCTGGTATTAACAGTGTAGTACGTCCTGCACTTGCCATGGATAGTAGGCTACAGAAGACACATTATAAATGTGTTATTTTGGTAAATAAGAATAGATATACCTGAATTTTTCAACCTCAGTACCATGTTCTTGTTCTTGTCTTCCTCCAACAGAGGCACAGCCAGGGCAGAAACAATTCCCCTCTTGAAGTTCAGGATCGTTGTCGTCTCGCCATCCTCGGGGTACAGTTTCACGTCATACTCGCCCTCAACTACAACCTTCAGAGGATGCCTGAAAGAAAATTAACAGTATTTTTTTGGATCAAACTCTACTGAGAATTTTCTTTTCTTTCTTATAAATAGATGGGAACTTATCACACTTTTCCATCTCAGCTGCGAAAGCGTCGGAGCTGGAAGCAGGACCGAACTCAGGGTTGCCCTCTGCGTCCGTGCCCACCACCTCACTCAGCTTACAGCCGGTGGTGCGAATGATGAAACTGCACGTCTGTGGCACTTCGACTTCAACCTGTGTGGAAGGTGAATATACGTGTTTTGAAACATTTCACTCCTCAAAAAATGTAATCCAAAAAATTTGAACCGCTCTAAAATCCGTTTGCTGCACCTTGCAGGAAGCCTTGGGTCCGTTCTTGAGCTGTGAGGCTCCATCGATGGCATTTAAAGACTCAGCTTCATACTGGTATTCATACTTGTGCAGGGTCTTGTATCTTTGGGCCACTAGAATGTATTAAAAATTTTTTTAAATGCATAGTTAATGTGGACAAAACAATTAAACTTAAAAAAATAGATCAAGAATGAACTTACGCAGACAGGTTGGTTGATCTTCATCTTGAGCAACTATTTAAAAAAATTTTTTTAGTGTTTTTCTTAAAATTAATGCAACTAAATATAAAGGCAATAAAATAAAAATCCCCCAAAATACACTCAGATATCAGTATTTTGCAATTATTATTAAAATTTATTTGTGTAATTTTATAAATACCAAAGGAATAACTTCAACGACATACAAGAACAGATAACAGATGACAATTTCACTTAAAAAAACTCCCATTTATTGTTAATTTCAGTGATGTTAGGATTACTCACAAGCCAAGGCTGGTGTAATGAGGAGCAGCAGAAGGCAGAGCTTTGAGTCCCCCATGGCGGGCTCGTTGAAGCTCTCTCCCCCGGGTTTGGCGAGTGCTCAGACGAGACTGAAGTCTCGGCCTCAGCTGGAGGGTTTTATACTATCAGCCGAACTCTGTCGGAGGACACTGGGAGGCGCAGGAGGCGCTTTGAACGCTCAAAGTTCACTGCAGCCTCCTGAGTGGAGGGACAAAGGCAAAAAAGGTTTAACACTCATGGATTTAAGCTTCTGTGCACAAAAGTGATAAATTTGTCATTTTTGTTTAGTTTTAGTTGTGCACAATTATAGGCAAGATGTTTATTTTCAGAAGCGGCTATGAACAGCCATCGCTGCATGCAGACATTTTATGATTTCCTCCAATAAATAAGCCATTTATCTAAAAAATGGCGCGCGTTTCTCATATTTACCATGAATTTATGTGACTGATTAAAAAAAGAATTAAGGCTGTTTTGTTTGTTGTTTTAATTACGAAAATTGTGTTAAACTATTCTATAGACCAGTGTTTCCCAAAGTTGGGGTCGGGACCCAAAGTGGGGTCCCGAAACGTCAAGGTGGGGTCCTGAAAAGATTTTCTGAATTAATTACATTTTTGCCTTAGTTGTCACAAATGAGTGAGGTTAGTATATTTAAAATGGATAAATGTAGTATAAAAATATTGTTACTATACCCATGCTTTGTTGACCTGATACAAATGTTTATCATCCAAAAATAGTTTGGGGGCACAGGTCTCTGCTACTGTTATTTTGTGGGTCAAAAGCTGAAAAGATTGGGAACCACTGCATTTTGGTTCCCAAAGTTGGGCTTGGGACCCAATTATGGGTCATGAATCACCTTGGATTATCTCCAGAAATCAATTTAAAGGGCAATACAATAATTGCTGATGCAATATATTCCCTATAATTATTACAAAAACACAAAATAAGTAAAAATAAGTATTTTTATTTGTGTATAAGCTGCTTAGATTGTCAAAAACCCTGTGTTTTTAGGTTTATTAACGAAGTTTGTGTACTCAGACCAATAATATTTGGGGTCACAAGTTTTTGCCATGGATATTTTGTGGGTCAGAAGATAAAAAGTTTGGCAACCACTGCTATAGACTGATAGGTTTGAAAACTGCAAATATCAGATTTGGGTTACAAGTCAAAAATAAAATAAAATAAAAAAATAAGATATATATGATATTTTTTCAAAAATAGAAGTTGAGTCAATGAATTCATCAGTTGGAGTTTAAACCAGGTCACTGATATTAGTGAACACTGAGTGATGAAAGCATGCTCCCAACGCAAAGTCCCTCTACTGTAAATAGAAAAAAGATAAACTTATCAACCCCTGTATAAGTTGATAAATCTAACCTGCAGACAAACCCACAGTCTGCAGTTATTAATGCTGCTTTAAGTACACTGGACTTAAAATAAAGATATTTTGGCCCATTACTAAACAAATTAAACAGTGTTATTCTGTTTATAAGTCAAATCATTAACAAATATATTCAACATGTTCATTTTTAAGGTGAACGTTGCTCAAAGATGCAGCAAAAGTAAAAATAAATACTTACAGTGTTTTACCATCAGAGTTAGATGCTTGTTCTGCTTCTGCAGCCCAAAGTGAACTCAGAGAAAATATTTGCTAGACTTTTTTGGGGGGATGGTGGCGGGGGCACATGAACTTTGATCAACAAAGATTCAAAGGTCAGTGCAGAGTTTGATTTACTGTTTGATGTAGATCAAATGTTCGATTTCTGCTATTTAACCCAGCAGTGATAACCCTGAAACCCCTGCAAACTGCTTTTTTTTATTGCATTTCATGATAAATATCTTTACAAACACAGGTTTTACAAGAGCCTACATTTTTTTAGATTTACATTATTTTATTCCATCTAGAGTTTTGGTTTTTTAGCTTAAATATTGATCTACATACATGTGAGTGTTGTGTAATGGTCTGTTGCAATGATATCTCCATCTGAATGTTTGAAACTAAAATGTTTGCACTGACGGGACTGTACACAGTCTCAGAAGATCAAATGTTAAAGCTTTAGCTGACACAGTCAAAGTTTTGTGTGCTTACAAAAAAATGGAGCTTTTTTCAGAAAATGGATGTTTTCTTTTTAAAATGGTGATCTAAGCTCATTTTAGAGACAACTTAACTGATCTTTACACACACACTTATTGCCACATACATCATTTAATCAAAGACTCAGCAAAATTAAGACTAAAAAATGAATTAATGTTAGACTTCCTAAAGATTCACTCTGAGAGTGAGTCTGTGACACATGGAGACAAACGTGCAGCTTTCAGGACTCTTACTTAATCAGTCCTCCAGTGTAAAGGTCGACGCTTTAATCAGCTGAGACGGCTTGTTTAGATTCTGTTTCTCAATTTATTCGTTTTCAGTTTATGGTTTAAAACACATTTTGCACTAGAAGGGAACAGTCTGCTTGGCTCGGATCAGAGATTATTTGCCGACCTCTTCATCACATTTCACAATCCAGCAGGACGGCTTGTTGTTCTGACTATAAAGGCTCTGTAAACACGACTGTCAGAAGAGTTTAGGTCTGGGAAAATCATAAGGTTGACAGCTAAACCTTTAGCTCGTTAAGATTTTTTATGCTTATGTTTGAACAGATGATAATTTGGTTTCATAAAAAAAGAAAACCTGCAGTTCTAGCATAATTAGAGTGGCACTGTTGTGATCATGACTGCTGTTAACTTTGTAATCTGTGTCTCGTTATGGATTCTCTGTAATCTGAATCTCCTGGTTCACCCATCCTCATGACATGACGTGGACCTGACAGCACTTTGTGCTTTTAGCTCTGATGCAAAAAAGAGTTCAATTTGTTTGTCTTTCACTTTTATAAAGAGGTTAATTTAGAATTCCTATAAAATAATGAATATTGTTTGATTTTATTACCACTATAGGGAAAAAAGATAAATATATTTCAACTCATTCTGATAAAACTATCAGGTGGAGGAAGATCCAACAAATTGGCTTAATTTTTATCATTTTAAAGTGGGATACTCATTAATTTTATACAAATGTAGAGAAGATTCCCTAATTTCTTTAGTATATATTATTGTGCAAGGCAATAATGTGCAGATCACATGCACATGCACAATATGTTAAATGTCCAAGTTGTGGTATAAATACAAAACATATTTGAACGAATAAGCAAACATTCAGCCATTTCACAGTATTTTTTTGAAATTAAGTGTCAAATCAAGAGGTTAAGCAAACAGTGGCTGAAGGTCCAGACACAATGAAGTCATCGACGCTGCAGCGCCGTGTAATAAACATGGTCTCCATGTTGTTCTGCAGCCTTATCAGGAACAGACAGATAACACTTTAGACCAAAACCTGACTGCAGCGATAGAACCTTTAGGTCAAAGTTTAAACGCCAAGTATTTTAAAAAAAATCTCAGAATTCACAATTTGTTATTGTATTATTAATAACCCTCAAAAAAATACATATGTTGATTAAAGGTTGTGTAAACTTCATATTATTACAAGAAACGAGAAATTCAAGTTTGTAATTGATAACACTCTGAGCAAATTCTACTGCTGGTAATACTTTAATTACCGAAAACAACTCCACAAAACATCTGAATTCTCTCTTTAAACTTCAAATCCACCATCTGTGTTCCCTATAAAGTGATGTCGTTCACTCTGTTTAAAGTGAAGGCCGCCAGATTAATACAAAGAGGAAGGTTAAATTTAATTTGTGCCAAAGAGGAAGGACAATAAGTCAACAAGGTGTATGGAGAACTGTTGCATATTACAGCTAATCTAACCCTGTTTTATGAGTAAATATATGTGTGTAAATAACAAACACCAAGATTTTATGAAGTTATTCATAATCAGCAGAATCAAATGCTGACCTGTTGCTTCTGGTGTTTAAAATGCTCAGATTATGATAAATTTAATAAGTTAACTTGGAAAACCTTGTTAAGCTCTAATATGGTGGCAACTTTTAAGTCAAGTAAAAACTTTTTTTCTTTCGTACTAAAGCCCACAACAACAAAAAAGTGAACTCTGAAAGGGCTTTGTGACAATATGATGTAAGAATCTATTAAAACAATCAATAATGTGGGATGGCACAAAATGGCAGCACTGCCCTAACAAGGAATGCACTAATAACAAACTGGAAGAGGCTTTTACCTGCATAAACACCCCCTGATCTAGAAAGTCCCCCCAGAGTCCATGTTGAGTTATCATTAAAAAGGACCTACAAAGCACTGCAGATGGGTGAAGTACTGGTGGCCTCTAGTGGATCACTGCAGCTCTGACTGACACAAAATCTGGTCCAGAATAGGACTGAATTGTCATTTTGATCATTTCACAAAATGTGCAACAATTTACAGTAAAGTTGAAATAGTAAAAAGATGATTTTGATTATTTTTGAAATAGTTAATTTAATTTAAACTACATTAATAAACCGTTATTTGTCATTTAAAAGACTCAAATCCAATGAAAATAAATAAGGATTTGTAATTTTTACAGACAAGATTAAATAAATGT